AATATTTTAATCTTTCCACTCTGATTGTAAGTAAAAACCGTAAATTCATGAATATTTCTCTTAAATATTAATGTCTCATATTTGAACTAATAAAAAACCTAATCAAGTCTAACTGTGTCTTGTAGAAATCATTTGGAAATACACACAGGTTATGATACAAAGATGGATTAATTACATAAATAATAAACTAATAGGTTCCCATAAATAAAAAGTCTGATGTGTACACCACGTGACTTCCCTGTACGGAATATTAAATTATACGCATTTTCCCTGCATTTCATTCAAACGTGTTCCCTCAAATTTCATTAGAGATATATTTCTCATTCAACTAATTCAGCTCTCACTTCTCAAAGGCAAAAACCCATAAAAACTCGAAATATCTTCATTAAAAATTGAAAGATAAAGAAAAACATAATACATCAATTTTATATAAGTCTTATTTTATAAATCACGAAGACACTGGTGATACCTTTTAGAAGTATAATCACTTGATTTTTCAGCAATTGTCAGGAACGTTAATAAACCCTTATACTGAAGAATCTTGAAAATGCTCTTGAATTTTGAATCTTTTATGTAGACTAGAATTTACACCTATATAAAAGATTCTGCGAAGACTGATGGTTTACGACCACCGATAAAAGTTTTGCATTGTGAAAGATTTAACGAAGCCTCTTCGAGTAAGCTGTAAAAATGCCTTATATTGACTTCAAAATTAAAAAAAAAATTGTTCTAATGCACCTTTTTTCATACACTGTTGTCTAATGAAAGACATTCTTTAAATAAACGAAAACTCTAATGTTTATTGTGTTCCACGCAATGCCACGCAATGACTTACTAATGTTAGAAACTCAAGACAGCACCATATGATCTTCTCAGTTTGACGTATATCTCCATTAAAGTAATCCTCTTTGTTATTTTTGCTTCAAATGATACGGAATTAGACTTATAACTTTTGTGCGCTTCCTCTTAATTGAGAAATCCGCGTAATCCCTTAAAATACAATTTTGTGGCATGGAAAGTATGTCTTTACGGTATCGCACTTATTTTCCTTGGAAAGGATTGCAAGTTAACATCCTGATGCTTCATTATTTGTGGCTAAAAGAGTTATTCCTCACGACATAAAGCCAATTAGAAGAGCTCAGCAACAATCAATAAGGAATATGGGAGAAAATTTGTTACCTTCTAGAGGGAAAAAGGGAGCACTTTAAGTATTTAATACTTTGATTCTCGTGTAGAAATGTCACGTCAAATATTTAATTCAAAACTATCTTTACAATTTTTTTTTTTTGCATTTCCTGAAAGGAGGACCTCTTTTAATTTTATTTAATTGACGTCGTCAATTTTTTGCTCTTTCTTCTTTTCTATAACGCCCTTGCAAAAATTAAAATCGATCTTTTCCAGAAGTAAAAATGTTGATGAAATCAGTTTTACTCTGAAATAGAAGAATTTAAATGAATTTAATATTGCATTATATTCATTTTATTTATAATTAATATTACAATATAATTTACAATATAATTAATATTAGAATAATATTTGTATGCCTGATACGGAAAATATTCGGTAACACTTTAGGATAATGCCTTCGAACGATCCCTGTCTCAAACGTGCTATTTCTGATAGCATTTAATTTTTTAATGTCTGAATGTTATTAAATTTTATTTAATTGTAAGAAAAAGATTGAGACAGGTTGACTAATCGAAAAGCATAAGAAAATTTGCATTAGTATGTCCAGAGTCTTTTGTGGTTTTTCCCATCTGTAACGTAGATTGTTTCCCTTCGAATATTCTCCAAGAAAACAAGATTCATCAGGCAGAAAGCTCTCACGTGATTTGCCATAGTCAAATAAGCCGAACTAGAGTTTTCGTACCAGACTTGACATGGACTCACTAACCGGCGAGTGGTATAGTGATTGAACACTGGTAAGTCGAACTGGCTGCAAATCTCGTCAAACGGGCAGGCTTTATGAGAGAGCTTTCTTTGTTTTTTAATGTAGGTACGAGCCATCGGCTTAAAAATCCTTCATGAAAGCCTTCCTTCCCCTGGCGGATATCTTTGTGTTTATTAGCTTAATCCAAATTGTTATTAAGATAAAACTGTCAAAAGATTCTGGTTCAGAAGATATACTTTTGTAGAGGAATTTTGAGAACAAACTGAGTTGTATTTGCATTCGCATGTATGGATGTAGAGACATTAGGATTTTTTGGAAGCCGGAGAGTTGAAAAATTAGCAATCGCCTTCGCGGGTAGTTGAACCACGGACCTCTGGAATACCGGCCCAGCGTGAAGAACCACTACACCACGAACGCACGTTAGGAAGGCGCGAGAAATACCTTATATGGATAACAACACAAAATTCTCTCACTTTCCCATCTGGTTAACAAGAATTGCATCCGAGGTGAAATACCACAGGTCGTCAGTCTCATTCATTCAGCTGCAGGAAGAGTGTTGTAAACTAGAGGTAAAACCACTTTTGATTGGGTTAATGGAAGAAAAAACGATTTTCTGTTGAACAGCAATATTTCTTAATATTTAACGTAAACTAAAATTAACATATTAATATATAGTTGTACACAAGCTAATCATTCATAAGGATTAAGCTTCATGCGAATTGTGTGAAGAACAGGAATATTAAAGTAATTTATTATAAATATGCGTAAGATAAATATGTATAAGTACATAATTATCTTACCTCATATTAAGTTCGTATCAATTTTTCATGTGTTCAATACAGTACTTTTGCTAAATCCTACGTTTATAATCCTACATTGTAAACAGTTTTGACAGAAATGACAATATCGCATTTGGCGAAAACTTTGACCATATATTTAGCGACCTTTTGAAATTTCTTGAATCTTCTTAGTTTTTCGTAACTTACACGAGAAAAGGTATACAAAGTATTTGACATTCTCGTACATTCCACGATTACTCTAAGAGCTCTGTACTGCTAGAAAAACTTTGAGAAATCTGACATTATATTTTCTCTTTCAAATTCGAATTATTGAATGAATTTTTCTAAAAATTTTTTTCTTATGGACATGGTTTGGCTTGAGACGCCGTGAGGGTAAGTCGCACTATTTGAGCTCCGTCTTTTGTTCAATAACTACGGAAATTTTACTCGCATCGACTTGGTAGTAGTTGCTATCTGTTCCTAAGATCAACAGGAACAATTTGATACCCCATTTATATGTTGGGTCAATTAGTTCTCTAATTATAATTTTTACAACAAATTAGCATTGAGCTGTGTTATTCCCAGCGGATATACCACCTTTGAAGTCCTCTGAGGGAGCTGTTGTTATCCGTCGCGACCTAAAAGTTACATCATCTTGTAGAGATAAATTCCCTCTTCAATTCAAGATATGTGTGAAGACAATTGGATAATTACAAAATTAATTATGGCCAAATTACTGTAATTACATAGCAGCATTTCGATTCGGAAGACGATTTGACCGTTGAAGCTTCGTAACGGTCGCATTCCCCCCCCCCGTGAGGAGAGGAAGCTGTCAAGGCCAAATCCAACGGCGAATTTCTTCATAGTAGGCTTTTAATCAGGCCACTGCTAATTAGGCCGCTAATTATTGTATCAACTTGAAACCTGTTGCCATACTTCCAATAAGATCACGGAAGGTTCAAGTTTCCAAATTTGAAACAGATCCGTTAATTAGAAGCGGAGATACAAATTTTTGCACTAATTTTTGGACTTAGTGAAAAATTGTGTTTTGTGACTCACTTGCGATTTGAAATAGTGTGTGCTCAGTGTGTAACACCTGAATATAACAGCTTTTGGATTACAGCAAGTTTAAAACAAACAGATGAAAAACAGAGAAGTTTAACGACCAAGTTTATTACAAGTTTTGGAGTGCACCCAACATTGTTAGGTTATTAAGTACTGTCGTGCCACCTTTACAATTGTTCAGTCATCGAGTACTTTAAGTATTTACAGAATTCTTCTTTGAAATATGTCCTGTCAATCAGTTCTCCCGATTGACGGTGATTCAGCACATCCAGAAAATGGACTTGATCCTACGTTAGTATTGGCATCTGATTTACCTCATACTGATAAAATTACTGCACTGTGTGACGACATTCGAAGAATTGCAACTACTAAACGAAGTTCAAAATTTTCGCTGCCCACGGATTTACGCACTAGACTCTTAAATTCTCTTACTGCTTTACAAACTCTTGCTTCAGCGGGTCCTGAATGTTGTATTAAAGCCCGCCAAGGTTGATATTGGTGTTAACACCTCCACAGTACTTTGTTGCGAATTAGCTCATTCCTCGCCATCACTACCTTCTGTTCCTTTGCTAAGTGATTTACCGGCGTCTACATCTTTGCCTGCTCCTCCAATACCTACTTTTGCGGAGATTGCTAGAAAACATAACAAGCCTCGTATATATATTAATCCCAAAGCGCATGTCTCAGAAGTTGAGCTCAAAGCTGAATTAAATGCTAAAGTTCCTCTCTCAAAACTTAAGGTTGGCATTGAGAGAATTATTAAAACCCGCCGAGGTGGTTTAGGAGGTGGTGTGTAACTCTAATGATGATGCCAATGTCCTTGAAAAAGAAATCCAAAACCAGGACATCCCAGCGGAGATTAGCCGTCCCCGCCGGCACAGACCTCGATGCGCAGTTCATGACCTGCCCGAATCCATCAAGCCAGAGGATGTCGTTGCCGAAATCAGTGGTGCCACTGGCATGCCCAGTAACATCTTCAAGCCTCTCCATCGACTCAGAGAGCGCCGTAAAGGGCACGTTAAGTGGATCTTCGAGTGCGAGCCCCGAGGCTTCTGTGCACTCATGCAACAACGCAAGATCTTCCTCGGCTGGCAGGCACATAGAGTCTCGGAACACATTGGAAATTAGCAGATGCTTCCGATGCCAGCAGTTCGGTCATCTACAAGCCAACTGCAAGAGTCGAAAACAATTTTGTTCCTACTGTGCTGAGGAGCACGGCATCCGGGACTGTACAGCGCAAAATCCACTGTGTATCAACTGCAGTGATGCCAATGCTCGATTCGGAACTGGTTTCGACTACGACCATCCTGCCTACGACTCAGCCTGTATCCAGTACCAACGTCGTGTGCAATCCATCCGAGATAAGACAAACTATGAGTACTAATAATCAGTCCTTGCCTTCTATTGGAAATGCATCGGCTGATACTATAAACATGGATTTTATCCGCAGTGGACTTTCAATTAAATGTATACAGATCAATCTTCAACACGCTAAGGCTGCTGTTGCTCAACTTACGCATTACGCAGTAGAACGTGAGGCTGATCTCATCTTTGTTCAGGAGCCTTATATTAAGGACGGACTTGCTGTGGGTTTCCCGCTTCAGTGGTCTATCTTTCAAACAGGCGATTTGGAGAAACCACCCAGGGCCATCATTATCAATTGCAACAAGGATTGGAAACCGACTGTCGTCGCAGCTAATAGGGACAATGTAGCCATTCTTCTTGATGTACAGGAAACCTCCATGCTTTTTATTTCACAATATTCATCTCCATCCGAGTCCATTCTTCCTTCATTGACTTTTCTATCAACTACTCTACAGCGCATTAAAATCCCTCTTCAGTTTATTGTGGGTGATTATAACGCCCATAATACAACTTGGGGTTATGCTTCAACGGATGAAAAAGGCCATTCTTTGGAGGATTTTCTATCAGCACATCATTTAATTCTGCATAACTCAATTGATGCCCCTCCAACCTTCGACAGAATACATTCACGTGGATGGCCGGATCTGACTATTAGTTCCACTTCTGCGGCTTCTCTCCTCCAGAACTGGACAGTTGAAGATGAAATAAGTCTTAGCGACCATCGCTATATTACATTTACAATAGCTCAGCCTACAACCATTCAAATTATTCGACGCTACAATCTGCCAGGGAAACGGATACGTGCCTTTACTGATCGTGTGAAAGCATTAGTAAATGATCTCGATGGTCAACTTTCTTCAGCCAATACTCGCGCTGATTTGGAGAATTTCACGGTTGTTCTACAGAAGGGTCTTCAACAAATCTGTAATGATCTTTTACCACAACGCCATGCCAAAAAGCTTAAATAATATACAATGGTGGAACAGTGAACTTCGTTCCCAGCAGAAGAAATGCCGCGCTTTACGACGGCGAATCAAATATGAGCGACGAATGCATCTACCACCAACTTCGCTCCCTCTATATCAACAGGAGAGAGCAAAATATAAACGTTCAATTTTACAAGCGAAATTGAATTCCTGGCATGCCTTCTGTACCGAATCGCATGATACATATGGGATTCATCATAAGATAATGACAGGCAAATTATTCAAACCTGCTCAATTATTTCTTCCTCTTGGCTCAACAGCCTCACAAGATTTTACCAAAGATACTCTGACTCATATCTTGGATACTGTTTTTGGACCGTCTGATCTCTATGAGGGTACTTCCCATCACTCATCGATATCTGAAGAAGAGCTCTCATCCACTGCGTCTCCGGACAAAGAAATTACTTTAAAGGAATTAAAATTCATTGTTGCCCATTTGCCGAAAAACGGAAAGCTCCAGGCCCGGATGGCATTGACTATGCCATCGTCAAAACTGCCATCTTGGCCTCACCAGTATTTTTTGTTATATTTTTCAACAAGTTATTGGCAACTGGTACTTTTCCTAGGTCTTTTAAAATAGGCCAGGTTGTCTTGTTTTTAAAGAAGGATAGAAACCCGACTGAGGCTACTTCATTTCGACCCATTTGCCTACTTCCAGCGCTTGGGAAAATTTTTGAGAAGATACTGATGACTCGTCTGCGTTTTCATCTACATCAGCACCAAATTATTAGTTCTCGACAATATGGCTTTCGGCCCGGTTCATCTACATTACATGCACTGCATGATATCACACAAGACATCCTGAATAATAAATTCTCTGGCTACCACACCGCATTAGTCAGCTTAGATCTTAAAAGCGCATTCGACAGTTTGTGGTGGGTAGCTATTAAGCAAGCTCTGGTAAACTCCAATTGTCCGAGTAATATTTATAAAGTTTTAGAACACTATTTGCAAGACAGACGTCTTATTGCAGTACATCCAGCGGGAATTATCGAAAAAAAGTACAGACAAGAGGATGCCCGCAAGGTTCTTGCGCAGGTCCTCAACTCTGGAACCTCACTTTTAATAAGATCCTTCAAGCTCCCTGGCCTGATCATACGCATATATATGCGTATGCCGATGATGTGGCTCTTGTTATCCGGGGACATTCTCGCGAAGTTTTACAGCAAAATTGCAATGAGTCTCTTCAACTCTTTCAACAGCATTGTGATGATCTGAAATTGATTATTGCTGAAAACAAATCCAAGGTACTTCTTGTACCTAAGAAAGGAGGTTCCTTGGTCAGGCGACCAAGAATTGTCCTCAATAGGCCACAGGTTGCAAATCCTCAGAGAAATCAAATATTTGGGAGTTATCATTGATGATAAGTTAACCTGGATCCCACATATTCTGTCCATTAAAAAACGAACACAGATGATTGCCAAACAGCTTCGTTATCTTCAGGGATATCGGTGGGGATTAAACCACCATATCCAAAAAATTCTATATACTACTGTCACAGAAAAGATTGTTACTTACGCCGCTGCTGTTTGGGCACTCCCCATGCAGGGGAGAAAAGTCAAACATCTTTCAACCATCCAACGCCCTTTTGCCCTGAGTATAACTCGGGCATATATTACAACTTCTTCGGACTCACTAAATGTTCTAGCCGGTCTACTCCCTCTTCATATTAGAACTGAGGAAGAGGCTGTTCGTCAATTACTTGTGCAACTACGCAGGCCTATCACATTTGATGGAGAACATTATTTGCCTGATGACTATGAAGCAAAACTTGAAACCTTTTAGTATTCATCCAGCAGACTATGGGGTTGGAGTTAGGCTCCATATTCCACCATCAGTGTTTCGTAATTCTTCAAGCCACGTGATATATACTGATGGATCAAAGATAGATGATAACGTAGGAAGCGCTTTTGTTGCTTTTCGTGATAATCTTCCTCTAGCCCACTGGAAGGGACATTTATCTATGCAGAATAGTGTTTTTCAAGGGGAAGCAGTGGCGATAGCACGCGCTATCCGCTACTTGCTGACTCAGAATATAACACAAGCGACAATCAATTCTGATAGCCTTTCTGTCATCCACGCCATTGGCAATCCTGAGCATTCCTCTCCAATTATACGAGACATTCAACAGGACTTACGTGCTTCTCCGTCTTTCACTATTCATATTGCTTGGGTTAAAGCGCATGTGGGAGAATATGGTAACGAACTTGCAGATGCCTATGCCAAGGAGGCGGCTTCTGGTGATGCTGATGAGAATATATCCATTCCTTGGCCACATTCTTTTCTCAAGCGAACTTTACGTCTTCGAGCAATTAGTAAGTGGCAAGAGGAATGGGACAATAGCTTCACCGGTCGACGTACTTTCTACCATCTTTCATATGTGTCGACAGATCGCTGCTGTGGCAATGCCCATCTTTCCCGTTACATTTCGGGGCATGGACCTTTTCCTGAATTCTTCGCACGCTTTGGCATAAGTGATACCAATGTCTGCAGTTGTGGTGAACTCGGCTCTCCGGAGCACTATTTAGCCAATTGTCCCCTGACAGAAGGCCTACACATACGATTTCCTACGCAAAATCGTCAGGCATTTTGCAAACTCTTAGTTAAGCAAAGACACCTGATCCGCAAACTAAATTGCGTAATGGAGAAAGTCTCCAGCATTGGGCTTGACCTATGTCAAGTTTAATCTAAATGGTTTTCAGGAAATATATTAACCATGTACTATCTGCTTTTTGTAGCTAGACTGTTAATAACAAATGAAATATAAGTTTGACTGCATCACGTTAGTTTGTGTGTATCGAACTCCATCTATCACCTTTTCAGGTTTGTTAGAAATTTTTATTTTTATTTATTATCTATTATATATATATATATATATATATATGTTTAAGCTATGCCTTTACATAGTTCTCACGTTGGTTTGATTGTACTGTACTCTTCTATCGATAGTATGCTTTTCTTATTAAGTTGATTGTCTATAAGACAATCATTATCTTAATCATTGTATCATGCTTACAAGTATCTTCATTCAGTATAGTATTATTAGTAAATTATGTTGGTATGTTGTATTGTAATGTATAGTGAGCCTTTGTACTATAACAGAAATTGTAAATGTTTATTTGATGGCATCATGTTAATCTAATTACATTGAAATCTGTCTCATGTTGTAAGAATCTGTCTACTTTTTATTTAGTACACAATTTCAATATCATTGTTTCTTGTCTCATGTTAGCTAGTTTCATTCTTAAGTCAGCAAGTATAGCATTATCAGTAAATAATTCTAGTCGATCTGCAAATATCGCATTCAGTCAGTAATATAGTTCTGTCGGTACTATAGTTATTGTTGACAATATGGATAGTTTCAGTCAGCAAGTATAGCTTTTTCCGCAAATTCTTCTTTATTTTGTATGCAACTTTCTGTCTTTGTATATGTTTTTGTTTAACTATTGCATATTTGAGCCTAGTATTTTTACAGATGACTTGTTTGTTTGTTCCGTACTCTCCTACTGTTCATATGCTATGCATTTTCATTTATTTTTTATTTTTTTTTTTTTTTACCTTCCAAACTGTGTATCATTGCAAATTATGTATTCATCTCAATTATGTATCATTGCAAATTTTGTATTCATTTCAAATTATGTATCTGTTTGCTAATATCAATAAACGACTGGGATCACGTAGTGGGGAGACGGCGCTAAACCAATTAACCAAATGGTAAAGGCGTGGTGCCCGTCTTCCCCGTTCCTAAATCCTAAATCCTAGTATTGGACATTTTTGAAAAATTATGAATTTTTTTTTCGAGGTATCTGCAGTCAATAAGAAACTATTGCTATTAAGTTGTCTCTGTGCTATCTAAATCTGTTAGGCAATTTTCAGTATCAGGCAATTTTAATTTTTGTTTGAATTAATGTAAAAAATTTCCATCGATCCCAGAGTCGTACCGAAATTTATATACAGGGTGGTTCAAAACTATATGTCAAAAATGTAAAGGCAGGTAGGGGGACCTAAATAAGCAGATTTCGTATAGGAATGTGTTTGCGGTAATGCCGCATTGAGCCGGTAGAGAGCGCTGACGAGTACGGCGCATAAAAGCACTGCACTAGCTGGATTCTTCATAACTACATTTGGGACCAAAGGATGACGCCACTTTCGCTGCACTAGGATGTTCATTCAGGTAATCAGATGTTTCGGATTTTTTCGTCTTTTATTAGGAATCCTCTTTAGAAAACGTTAACTTGTACTGGTAAAGGCCCGTTTTAAAGCCGTATACCAGTCACTAGAGTTTGGATACGGATACGGATTCTTTATTTTCTGCACGGATCTCGAGCAGCATGCATCGTTATACCAATGCGGAGCTTGCCGACATGTATTTCATGTATGATTCTACACAAGGAAATAAATTAACTGCTCAAAGAATGCACAAGGAGCGATTATACAGAGAAGTCTTAAATGAATTTTTGGTCAATGTTCGTCCAGCTGTTCGCAGACGAATGTGGTTCCAACACGATTGAGCCTTAGCTCCCTTCAAACCGAACGTCAGGAATCACCTAGATGTTGTCTACGGTCAGCATTGAATAGGACGGGGAGGGCCAGTTCCCTGGCAACCGCTTTCTCCTTATTTGCTTGGATTTCTTCTTTTGAGGTCATATTAAAGGCCTCATGTACGGGAGTCCCGTCATATCTGCAGAAGATCTTGTTGCCCGCTTGTCTGTTGCTGTTGGACATGTGCTCGACATGCCTGACGTCTTTTCTAATGTAGACCGATCCATGCGCCGCCGCTGTGAATCTTGTATCGCTACTGGTGGCCGCTCTGTCAAGCACCTACTATAAACTGTTAACACTTTTTCTTTTGTCTTTACTTGTCTTTTCAATTTCCTGTGATTCATACTGTTCTACGTGCTAGTCCTTCAATGCGACATTGCCGCACGCACATTCCTATACGAAATCTGCTTATTCAGGTCCCATCTACCTGCCTTTACATTTTTGACATATGGTTTTGAAATACCCTGTATAACCCGTTTGTTAACAGTTGCACCAAAATGGAGATATGTCATTAATTTATTAAACTTTAAATAACTAGTGATTAATTTTGATTTCTTTGTGTTCTGCATCAAATAAAAATTTTACGAGTATTTTTACTTTAATAAAATTAAGTTCCGGTACTATTTACATTTTCAAACACGTAAATGGTACTATTAATTGGAAATCCAGATTATTCTTTATATGTATGATTTTAAAATGAATGTTACTTTCTCGATTATCAAAGTGCATATAAAATTCATATAAAATGTAAAAAAAAATATCCTTTTTATGCTTTTCTTGTTAAAATTTAGAGCGTTTACTTAACAGTTGATGTTGCTTAATGCACTCTGCCTAAAGCAATTTTAACTTACTATTTAGAAGCAATCGTTTAAGTCTTGAAAAAAATGCCTTCAAAGATTACTTTGCTGTATTTTTAGCCACGCAGCTCATTAGGTTTTTTTATGTACTTTCTGTTTATACTTTAATGAAGAAAGAGATTAGGAATAATATTTCTTGTTATTTTCTTTTTCGTCATCTAAAAACTCTTCCTAAAATTCTGCTGTTAGTTTTGTTTTTATAACATTTTTTTCCCTTGCTACCGAAGTTAAGTTAATACTTAAGACCATCATAAAAAAGACTTTGCTAAAAAAAGTACTTCTGGGAAATACAAATCAGTCCGAGGCACTTATTGGAAAGCTTATAGAGTCTTTATTTAAAAGTGTCAAATGATAAGATAATTTACGTTTAAAAGTCATACCCTAAAATATTAATAATCTGTCACTATACATTTACTGCAGTTTAAGAGTTTTAAATGCTGCGATTTCTATTATATGTAACCGAAGAATCTAAAATATTAATTGCATCGAAAGACTAGCAGAGGCATTTGATACATTTTTTTGAAATGTGTGCAGATTCTGTGAGAATGTTAAATGCATTTAATAGCTTGGCACATATGCTGAAACAGTATATTAGGTTTAGGATTCACATACATGCAGTCCTGTTAAGAGAATAAAAACATTTTTCCGAATTTTTCAGTTCTGACCTAAATCTAAAAAAAATATATTCTATAATAGTACTGGAAATAATGTAATAGCCTAAGTATCTAATACGTAATAAAGTTGTGCTGTAACAGCGGTAGGTATGAAAAGCAGTCGTTATTTTTTATATTACTTGCTTACATTATTTTTAATGTTACTAATATATTAATTAAATATCAGCGATTATGTTTACTACCTAATTACATATCTATAATTATAGGAAGGGATCTAAATTATTAATTTAAAACTCAAACAACAACAAATCAGCGTCACATTTGCAAATTTTCACAGGACTAGTTTCGATGGTTTTACTGAACCATCATCCTCAGCTGCCAAAGCGTAAATGACCGAGATAAGATACTATGAAGTAAGATCTTAAAGAATGGCTTGTTGATTGATTTCTAAATTAATATTTGTTCGGCTTAAATTTTAAACTAAATTTTGGGATTTAAATATTAAACATAAGTTAAACCTGGATGGCAAAAATGTTCACAGTTATGTTTGCAGCAATCCACTTCTTTTGATACATCAGATAAACCTACCTACTAATCAGCATTAAGCGGACGTTCATGATCTTTTTCAGGTTCACCAGCTACCAAGCGGTAAATTGGCTGAACACTGGTAGTTCGGTCGGAAGTTCTAATATCATCAAAAGGGCGTTTTCGCCATGTGTAACTTACGAGCCAATTTCCCTTACAAAGCCCTCCACGAAGGAATCCCTTCCTTTAAACAGATAACCTTCGAATGCTTTAGAGTAATTAAACAAACAAACTATGATCTCTTTCTCAGCACTACCATGAAAACTGTGAATCTGAAATAACTTTATGAGTATTATATTCTTATGTTCGCTGTGCTTGGAAGTTTGAGGTAGGGACGGAATGTTATCGTGGCCATTATAGATTGGAGGCTTGTCTTCAACATCAGCTGTAAGATATTCCTAAACTTCTATTATCTCAAAACACAACATGTCATCAGTAGCACAATTAATAGGTCCATTGAAACATTATATGAGCGCCCCTGTATGCTCCCAGAATTATTCCCAAGATCAAACACTGTGCTAAACTTACTGTGGACATCCAAAAGTCTATCAGACTTAGAGAATCAAGTTCCTAAAGATGTGGCCTTGTTCAAATGATCTTCTTCCCCAGCTAAATATTGACTGAATAAGAAAACTGAGTACCTTTTTAAACACCATAAGCAAGAAGTCTGGAAAGATAAGATTGCCGAACTTAATATCACTAATTTGTCTTTTTAAAAATTCCTCAAGAGCCTTAAAAGAAAAATTTTCTTTAACAGGCTTGACTTTTATGTTGTGCTAAAGTTATTACAACATCCTTCTATAATAAAATAATTTCCAAAATTTCTTCCATTTCTTGCAAAATCTTCTTGAATTAGAACCATTTTTTTTTTCAGAACAGAGGTTTTTGGACTTATTTTTCAGCTGAACTTATTTTCTTTAAAATAATTTCTTTGAAATAAAGAATCTTTATGAAATTCATTTTAATGTTCATTTCAAACAACTTCACTTGCATTTGTAATCAGGTTTTAAAGAAATGCATTAAAATATGCAATTAGACATGCAATAAATGCAAAAAATTGTAAAATTATTTTATAAATAATTTCTTAT